GAAAAGTTGCACCTGAGGAGTAAAAGCCACAGGCATTGCCAACTGCAGGGGTTGGTGGAGAGGATGTGCTTGTCACTTGGGATGCAGAGGCTGCCTGAGTCTGTGACCACATTGAAGGGATCAGCTCCTTTAAGGACTTTGCAGGCTGAGCCCTCAGCTGGAACGGGAGCAGATGAAGCCCTCCCTGTCTCCCCCACCAGGTGTGAGCTCCTGACAGCCCCTCATCAGTCTTCGGAGCACAGTGGTTCCTGAGCCAGCAGTACCAGGAAACTTGTTGGGAATGAAAATATTAGGATCCCACCCTGTCCTGTGGAATGGGAAAGAAGCTCTGGAATTGGATTCAGCCCTCTACTAAGCACTCTTGGGGATTCTGAGGGCCCACTGTTTTAGGAAGGACAGGAGGCAGTCCTGGAGGCAGGCATACTGCATTGGGAGCTCAGCCCTGCCGTGTCCAGCTGTGTGCTGGCTCCTCTGTGGTGGGGATAACACTACTTGCTTGGAGTGTGATTGAATGCATTAAGATTCTGCTTCAACACGCTTGGTTCGTGCTGTTTAGTGGGCAGTAGCTCTATTTCTCCAGACATCCAAGTAGATAGGGCTGTAGGAAAGGGCACGGGCCAGTCTGCAGGCCAGCCTGTCAGGCCCTTCAATGCCCACCTTCTGATCATGCCCAAAGCTACCTTCTTCATCCAGTGGCCCATGACTCGTATGCATCACTTGACCAGGACTGAAACCATGGGCAGATGTGGTGGACTCTCCAGCTTCCCCAGAGGGCATCCCCTGCCTCTGAGAGCAGTGTCGACTTCTTGTCCTGATCTCACCTGACCCTCAGGCCGGCTAAACTGGCAGCAGAAGCTCTGGACTGAGTCATTGTCTCCATCACACTTCCTCATCAAGCAGGACAAATCCTGCCCTGCCCACCTCACAGGAAGATGGGGAGCACAAGATGCCCTCAAGTCTGGATAAAAAACCACATGAGGAAGCTAAAATTGTAGAGGCACAAGAACATACTAGGTGGCCACTGTCATTCACACTGGACCAGTTGATCCAGTCTCTGCCTTTCCCCTTCCCCACCCTCTCTACCTGGCATGTGCCCTGTGAGTCCTTAGATCTGCAAACTATTTAAACTCATGGAAAGGAAGTATTGCTCTGAGCCTTCTAAGGTAGGAGATGGAGAAGATGATGGGAGTTTGGAACCTTGGAGGCCTGGTCTGAATTCCAGCCCAGGCCCCTCCCTGACTTGGCCCTACGGAATGTGTTTCCCCATCTGTGAAATGGGGATGACAGGATTACTATAGGTAAGCACAGCCTGACCACAGCAGGTGCTCAAAGAGTGGCTCCTCCCTATATTGTGGCATGGACCACACCCTCCTTCTGCTCGGAGACCAGCAGTGACTTGCAGAACCTTAGAAGTGGAGACCTCAGCCCAGGTCAGACAGCTGGTCCATGCTAATGTCCTTATAGGCCAGTCACTCAGCCACACAATGAAGGGTTCTCCTTGTGTGCAATATTGGTAGGCTGAGAACTTGCCAGATCTTTAAGCTTTCTTCCTTTTGCTTGACAATTCCATCTTTACGTCATTTTCCTCACTCTTGAATTTCACTCTAAGTAGAAGCCAAGCCATATCAACGCATTGCTTAGAAATTTCTTCAGCCAAATACCCAGTTTCATCACTCTCAAGTTCTACCTTCCATAAACCACCAGAACACAAACACAGCTCAGCCAAATTCTTTGCCACTTTATAACAAGGATTGTCTTTTTTCTCTTGTCCAATAAGCCATTCCCATTTCTGCCTAAGATTTCCTCAGACTTTAATGTTAATCTTTCTAACAGTATTCTGTTCAAGATTCCATAGAAATTCTCTGAAACTCGGGCTTTCTTCATAGCCCTCCTTTTGTCTTTCTGAGCACTCACCAGCAAGGTGGGACCTTTGTACCAGGCACCATATGACTCTTGCAGCCTCTGCCCATTGCCGGGTGGCAAAGCTGCTTCCCCATCTCTAGTTGTTTGTTACAACCCCAGCCAGTATCCATTTCTGTCTTAGGGCTACTTCGTCTACTTTAACAAAGACCATGGACCGAGTGGCTTATAAATAGTAAAAATATACAACGGCACTGTATAAAACTCTACAGTGCAAATAATCTGGTATGCAAACAAGAGATTGGGAAAATGTTGGGTTTTGTTTGCAAACTATATTGGGTGACAAACACAGGGTAGGTGAGGACGTGTGAGTTTTGAAAGACCTCAGCTCAATTCCTGTCTAAGCTAGTAACTGAGTAACCTTGGGAATGTTATCTAAGCTCTCTGAGCCTTGCTGTGTCTATCCATGGAGGAGAGAACAGTGCAAGTGAAACGCCCAGCCCAGTGCAGTGCTGGCCAGGAATTTGGGCGAAACAGCTGTCCTGGAGCCTGAGTCTGTTGGCTTCATGCTAGTCCCACCTTCCACCTGCTGGTGGGACTGAAATTTCTTCTGGGATCCTCCCATGGTCAAAGCCGGACTGAGGCCTGGGCTGGTCTCAGCCAGTGGGTGAGGGGCAACAGGACTTAGGTCTTGGGCTTTGGATACAGCTGACACTGTCCATGCTGTTAGCAGGCAAAATAGCTGCTTGAGACTTCTGCTCTGCAGGCCCACAGAGTGGGATAAGCATCAGGGCTCAACTTGAATTAAATGTCAGCAGGGGTTGTCCCTGTTCCATTTCTACTCTGAGCTCTCTAGGATGGTGTCCATGTGGTCCTGAAGCTGGGCTCCACCGTGTTCTCTCCCAGGCAGCAGACCCCTTCCTCTCCCTGGAGCACTGGGTGACAAGCTGGGAGACAAAGGGCCTTTGGACACCTACACCAGACTCCAAGCCCCTCCTGTCCCCGTGCACATGGAACAAGCATTTTTGCAGAAGGATCTGGCTTTCTCTGTTGAATAAAGGGAGAAGAGAAAGGTGTCCACTCTGGGAACACACAGGCCCTTACCTAGTAACCACTGCTTGGATGAAATCACAGAATGACTAGACAAGGGGAACTTCTCAGGGCAGCCTCTTCCTCCCACACGGCAAAGTCCCCTTCCCTTCAGCAAGTTTTGCCACTACTCAAGCTGGTTTCACAGACTCAGTGGTCACATGAGACTCCAGAGCAGAGCAGCCAAACCCCACGAGCTGCTCACAGTAAAGGATGCCGAAGAGCCTGTACCCCGCAGCCACCCCTCTGCCTGGACATGCACTGTGTTCCTTCCTCCCTCCCTGGAAGGGAAAGCTTTGTCATATGCCCAACTAAGGTGAGTAACACAGCAGCCAGCCCCTGCCAGCCAAGTCCGACTTTTCCCCACCAGTGAGCGGATGCGGCATCCTTTCTAGGCTGCCACCCTCTTCCCACTTTGCTCCATGCTGACTTCACGTCACTTCTCTAACGAGGATGCCTCCTCCAGCCTGGCTTCCTGCCCCGACAGCATGTGAGACGCCCACTGCTCAGGATGGTCTCCTCTGGGCAGCTCACACAGTGCTGGTTTTGTTTGTTTTTGTTTTTTTTGGTACTGGGGATCAAACTCAGGACGGTGCACTTGTGAGGCAGGCTCAGCCACTGAGCTAAATTCCTGGTGCCCGTGCACACACAAACACACACACTGCTGTTTTACTTTAACAGACTCGTGCCAGATGAGTCACCAGCCAGACCCACACCCCAAATTAGCCACAGCATGGGGGAGTGGGGACAACGGTGTGGGCTCCTGCCAGGGGAGGACAAAGGGTTTCTTTTTTCTTTTGGTAGGTTTCAAGCTGAGAAAACCTCTCAAGGGTGTCTGCTTCAATTCTGTAGCCACGTAGAAGGAGAGTGAACCAGACTGCGACAGTGGGGGACATAAGCCACTGCCACTGGGTGGATTACCATTGCTTTCCAGTCTAATCAGCCATCCACAGGACACCATGAAGCAGCCTCCCCAGAGGACAGGGCTCCTTCACGGTCTTAGGGCCGTCACTGTGCTGCCTGGCAGTCTTGAAGATCTCCTGGACTGATCTGGTTCCATCTCTCTGGTCCCAAAGGCCCCTCTTTCCCCGCGGAACACCCTTCTGGAAGCCTTCAAGGGACCTAAGAATATACATTCCTGTTTGTCAGTTATCATAAATGGGAAGGACTGCAGTCTCTCCGTGGAACTTGGCCAGCTTTGGAAGCCATACTTTAACATTCACAGCTGCCAGAACTGAACCAGAACAGGGCTGAGTTCTGCCAAGCAAAGCTTCAGAGCTCTGCTGATACCTGTAAACTGGGAACCTGTGAAAGCCTAGGTGCCAGCTGGACTGTGATGCCTGAGCCTGCAGGCTCCCTGGCCACTCCCAACCTTTGCCACCTGCTCCTGACTGTGGCTCAGTCTACAGGGACATGGAGGGGACAGCAGGAGGCAGGGCAGGAAGGTATCCTCAGCTCCCTCCTGCAGGTGCAGTAGGCCGACATGACCCTCCTCACCCCCATGAAAGACCACAAAGGTCACTTGTTTCCCTCTACCTTCGGGCCTGGGGCAGGAGTCTCACTGTTATTAGTTCTTGAACAGTGTGTACCACCCCTTGGGGCTCCCACACCTGCTATTATAATGTCCTCAAGAAATAGATCTTTTCCTGAGGATTTAGCTTAGTGGTGCTGCTGCCTGCCTCGCATATGCAAGGTTCCAAGTTCGATCCCCAGTACCAGAAAAAACAAAACAAAACAAAAACAAAAAAATGACAAAAAGATCTTTTACAGGGCCAGGGATTTAGCTCAGAGGCACTGCACCTACCTTGCAAGTGCAAGGTTGTGAGTTCTATTCCTGGTACCCAAAAAAAAAGGAAATCTTTTACAAAAGGGAAGGGGGCCAAGAGATGGAGGGAAGGGGAGGAGAGGGGAAGAAAAAAGAATTAAGATGTGTTACATACATGTACCAAGATGTACTGATAGAAATAAAACTTTTAAAAGTTCCCAAATCACCCAATCTTAGTATGTTGCTTCCTGCCAAGACCCTGACCAATACAGATACAGTTAGGCTACATTGAATACTCCAGAATTTATTGGGCCCTTGAAACAATGGCCTTGACAGGTTGTAAACATAAATGCTAAAAGACCACCCCCCAACTGTAGCCCACTGGGCCACAATGAACCTGGCCCGAGGAGCTCAGACCCGGGCCCAGGGAGGCCTCCAGAGCCTGCGGAGGGCAGCAAGGACTCAGCGAGGCCCATCTCACTGAGCTTTCAAGTCTGGCTGGTGGGTACCCACTCACCTACAGAATGCAGGTCTGTGCAGGCTTGGACTTGGGCTTAAGGACTGGCCACCCCAGGGGGACCTCCACTCCAGGGGACCCTCATCAGAGAAGGGAAGGCTGAGAACCTCTCCTGTCCTTCTGGGAGAGTACAGAGCATCATCACTGGGTTCTGGCCTGGTGACAACTCAGAGTCGAACATAGGAGGGGGACCTATCAGCTAGGAAGGGTTAACCCTCTTCGTACCTGTCTCCCTCATATGTCCCTAAAGCATCCTGTTAGTGTCTGGAGTGTTTCTCCTTGCACAGAATGGGCAAGGATATGGCTTACTGGCATCTTGGGAGGGCAGAAGCCCAAATATGCTCTGCTGTCTGCCCCTAGAAAAATGCCAGGCTTTTCCTCCACTGTGAGCCCTGTGTGAGCCCCTGGCCTCACTCCCCAGCTCCCAGGGCCCAAAGCCTCATGCAGCACTGACGTTCTTGCCTCCCCTCCTAGATGAGGTGCTCCAGCAGGGCAGAGCATGCTGAGCCCAGCACCAAGCCCACGTAAATGTAAAAGGACATCACCACCCCAGTAGCCTCGGCCAGCTCCCTAGGCACAATCTTGGGCCCATAGAGGAGAACCAGAGTACTGAGGTAGCCGCTGCTTAGCCCCAGCAGGCAAGTAAAGGCCACAGGGTAGATGTCAGACTGGAAGAGCACTGTGGTCAGGTGGACTCGGGGCTGGTAGTTACACAGCACGAACAGAGGGACGAGGCAGGTGCGCAGCAGTGCCAGCCCGGGGAGCACCTTGCTGTTGGGGCCCGGCACCTGGATCCACGCTGTGATCTGCCGGCCGCACAGGTCAGCAAAGTTAAGCAGGAGGAAGGTGGTGAGGGGCACAAAGAATTTGGTGGTCCATGGTGAGCCGGAGCCCTTGTGGAGGGACTCAATGTTGGCAGAGATGGCGGGGAAGATGAGGGCGGTGATGAAGAACAGGTAGACGATGCAGAAGCCCAGGCCAGCGGTCCTCTTCAGGATGGGTCTCAGAGGTGGTGTGTGGGACTCAAGGGATCTGGGGGCCACCAAAGGGCAATGGGGGGAGACCTGTGATGGCTCCTCTTCACCAGAAAACGCACGGACTGGAGCAACAGGCCTCATGTAGTACCTGCAGGGGGACAGGGTATGGTCAGAGGCCATCATGGCTGGGGATTTCCAGGGACAAAGAAGGTCCTGCAAGGCCTCAGTGGGTGCCCAAAACAGCACCCTTAGGCTCAGCACACAAAGCCTAGGCCATGAGCATCCAGTAGCCCAAATTCCCTGAGATGAATCCTGCTGGTCTGTGTGGCCAGAGGAAAACCCGCGCTGGTCCCAGCCTGCCTTCCAGGCTGGATTCCAGTCCTTCAATCAGCAGTGACGGCTGTGCCACAAGCAGGGTCAGGAGCAGCCCTGACCACCACACAGTGAGCTGAGGCGCCTGTCCTGGTTCATCTGCATGAGATTTAGAGGGGAGGTAGAAATCAAATAACATTTAAATATGAAATTTTAAAATCATGAAAGCAATACACTTGATGCAATAAACTGAAATAAGCTGGGTGTGGTGGCGCATGCCTGTAATCCCAGTCCTCTGGAGGCTGAGGCAGGAGGATTTCTGTGAGTTTGAGGACAGCCTGGGCTACACAGTGAGTTCCAGGTCAGTCTCAACTACATAGTGAGACCCTGTCATAAAAACAAATAAACTGAAATAATAGAGCAATTATACAGTAGAAAGAGAACATGTATCCCAGTATTTTGGTAGGGGAGATTCTAGAAGTGGAGATTTCTGGGTTAAAAGGTTTATACCTTTACCATCATGATAGATATTTATAAACAGGGCTGGGGATTTAGCTCAGTGGTGCCGCTGCCTGCCTCACAAATGCAGGGTCCTGAGCTCGATCCCGGGTACCAAAATAACAAAAAGATATTTATAAACTGCTGTCTACATAAGAAGTACCAATTTATCTCTTCTCTGAACTACTCTTGCCCACCCTAGTAACCTGCTCTACTCATCTCCAGGAGGGCACTTGTATTTCTTTCAAATAGTTGACCACAATCTGTAACTGTTATATTAGTTTACTGGCTTGCCAGCGGTTTCCTTCAATAGAAGATGACGGGTCGTTTGGTTGTTTCTAGCTAAATCTCTAGGCAAAGCAGCTCTTGAAACCTACTTGAAAGAAGCCGGGCGTGGTGGTGCACACCTGTAATCCCAGCCCTCATGAGGCTAAGGCAGGAGGATCGCTGTGAGTTCGAGACCAGCCTGGGCTCCATAGTGAGTTCCAGGTCAATCTCAACTACATAGTGAGCCTGTCTCAAAAAACAAAGAAACAAAAAACCAAAACAAAACCTACTTGAAAGAATGGCCAAGCACCTTCTAAAAGTGCCTTGCCCCTGCCCAAATCCTTAGTATTTTTTGTTTTTTGTTTGGTGCCAGGGATCGAACTCTGGTCCTTGAACTTGCAAGACAGGCAGCAGAACCACTGAGCTAAATCCCCAGCCCCAAATCCTCAGTGTTCAATGTCATCAATCCTATCAACTTCGGCTTGGTCTCTTTGCCTCGCTGTGTGAACTTGTCAGAGTGACCTCTCTGGGCCCCAGGTACCTGAAAGCCAGGAGACACAAGCTGTGGCTCCCAAAGTCCTTCTGTGTGATGCTCAGCAGGGGGCTCTGACCTTGAGGCAGTTGTTTCACCATCCATATTTTGGGAAAGAGACATTCCTACTGCCCTCTCTGCTGGGCCCCATGTCCCAGGCTGCTCTGGCTCTGTGGAAGCAGCCCACCAAGTTCTTCTGGCCCAAGCCCCTCCTGATAAGTCCCTCCAGTCTACAGCCTTGCCTTATCCTCCCCAGTGAGCACCGGTGCCTCCTCTCAAGTCAGATTCGCCTGCACAGCCCCAGGAGCTCAGCTCGCTCTGTGAGCACCACTGTCATCTTCGGCAGATTTCTGCAAAGCAGGACCCCTCAGCCTAGATTTTAATCAGCAGAGAAACAGAAGCTGTGCAGAGCAGTGGGCCCAGGAGGCTTCTGTCTCATGTTCAGCTACAAAGCTTGGCCTGCCCAAATGCAGCGGAAACAAGGGTGACCAGTTGTCTTGCTTCACTTAAAAGTCAGATGAACAGGGCAAGCTGGCTATGCTGCTGGCAACAGATGCACCCAGAGCACCCTGAAAACAAATGCAGGGAAGGGCAGGAGTAGGGAACTCTTTGCCCCTTCATTTATTCAGGGACTCAAAAATATTTTCATGCAAGGTGTGGTGACACACACCCGTAATCCCAGTACTCAAGAGGCTGAGGCAGGAGGATTGCAAGTGTGAGGTCAGCTTTGGCTACATAGCAAGACCCTGTCTCAAAATTAAAAAGAGGGCCAGGGATTTAGCTCAGTGGCATTGCACCTTTCTGGCAAGAACAAGGTACCCGAGTACTGGCTTAAAAAAAGACAGGTCAAAATTAAAAAGAAAAGTCACAAGCATGGAACAATGCCAGGCTGTCTAGGGGTACCAGTGAGCCACCAGGACCCCAGGAATCACAGGGATGCTGTCATGGAACCACAGCAGGGCATTTTTGGCTAATGGGTCTTCCATGCCTGGGAGACTATGAAATGCCAGTTTCCAGTAGTTAAGTCCCCTTCCTCCTAAAGCCACCAAGGCCAACTGGTGAAATTTACAACCCTATACTTGGGGAAAACAACCCACCCTGTAGGGTGGAACTGAGGCATGGTGGAGGGAGGGTGTTCTAGGGATCAACGAGAGGTGCCTCTCACAAGGACAGGAGCGATGAAGCAGGAGGACCCTAAGGTCACAAGGAATGCTGCACAGCACAGCTCCAGAAATGACCCTGAGGCCAGATCCCTTCCTGCCACCCTCCAGGGAGCCCCCTGGAGTAGGCCTGGTAATTCCTGAGCCTCGGTTTCCTCATCTATAAAGTAGCAGAACACTACAATGATGACACAAATTGTCCTAAGTGATTAAAAAAAATATGTGTGTAAATTGCTGAGCTCAGAGCTGCTGCAAAAAATAGGTCCCTGCAGAAAAGGGCAGTCAGGACAAACCTCCCAACCCTGCTCCTCATGCCAAGGGAGCTCAGGCAGACCACCTGGCCAAGTCCTGAGTTCAGTGTCCTCACCTGTAAAATGGGGACAACTCCTGCCTTCCATGAGACAATGGCTAAGAAAGTGCTTTGAAGAGAACGAAACATGAGAGAAAGCCAAAAATTTCTTTTTCTAAAGTGCAGCAGGATGCAAGAAAGAAAAAGGAAGAACTAGAGACAGGAAGCAAAAGAGAGACTCAGGGCATGAAAAGGGATCTGGAGGGTGGAAAGAAGCCCCACGGGGCAGTGGTTGGTTAAAAGGACAGGTCTGGAGTTGGCTTCAAATCCCAGCTCTGCTACCTATTGCTGTGGGACTCAGGCAAGTAACTCGACTGCTCTGATCCTTGGTTTCCTAATTTGTGCAGTGGAATAGTAATGAGTATCCATATGATGAGGAACAAGTGTGAGGGTTAAGTGGTGAGATGTGACACTCAGCGAGGCTGAGCTTGTGCTGGAGCAGGGAGCATGCAGCAAATGAGAATTCTCTCTCTCTCTCTCTCTCTGCATTACTGGGGATTGAACTTAGGGCCTTCACACTGACCTTCATCACCAGCCACCCCCGCTTCTGGTATCAGGGATGGAACTCAGGACTTTGCACTTGCAAGGTAGGTGCAGCGCCAGTGAGCTAAATCCCCAGCCCCAGCCCTTTCTATTTTTTTATTTTGAGACAGAATTTCCAGAAATTGCTGAGCTGCCCAGGCTGGGCTCGAACTTGCAATCCTCCTGACTCAACCTCCTGGAGTGCTGGGATTGTAGGTGTGCGCCACTGTGCCTGTTTACTGTTATCATTATTGCTCCATCCTCACTTCCACTGCCTGCTTTCGCTGTCCTCAAACTTGTAGACTTCAACTGCTAGGGGATCCGGCCCAGATCCAGAGGCTTACATCAGCCAGTGCTGCGAGCCAGGAACAGCTAGAGGCCCTGGGACACAGAAGAGAACAAGGCTCACAGGAGATTCCACCCTCATGGAGCGCACACTGCTCCTGCAGGGACTGGCAATAAATAAGCGGACATCAATGCAATGAGGTGACTGCAGCAGAGTGGGGCAGCCGGCAGGTCCTCACCTGGCGTACTCCAGCCTCGGCAGCAGCAGGTAGAGACCCATGCAGAGCCCCAGGAAGATGACCGCAGTCAGGAAGAAGGCCAGAGCGCTGTCCCTCACGTCACTGGATGCGGCCAGGTCCACCAGCGAGGCCACAGCACTGATGGTCCCACCCATGGCTCCTCCTGCAGGGAGCAGAGGACACCACAGAGGTCAGAGGTATGTGTGGGGAGGTGCAGCAGTGGGCCCCTCCTCTCAAACCAAAATAAAAACTGTCCCCCTCCCAGTTCTCATTATTCTGAGGCCACAGCAGACAGGACGGGCCCTGGCCAGGCCCAAGAGCTCAGGTTTTGGAGGTGAGGCTGCTCCCTAGCCCCAGCCTGGTCCCTCTCCCTCTGCTTCCTGCTCTCCCCGGGAGGGCTCCTCAGGGATAGTCCTAGCTCAGCTCTGCCTGCAGCTCCATGGCTATCCTACCGGGGAAGCTCTTTCCTGCCCACACCCTGCTGCTCACTCCCACAGCACACAGCCCCCGCCAAGGGCTTCCACACACATGACGCGTGTGACCAGGCGGCCACCACACTTTTCACAGCTACCGAACACCTTTCAAATGCTGGTGGCGTGATCCAGCAGCAGGATGGTTTGTCCAGGAGCCCACTGGATGTATGCGTGACCTTTACTCTACCTCACGCGAGCTGCGACCCTGGTGCTCCTGTGACTTCTCCAGGCCACAGTTTGCTCATCTGTGAAACGGGGACACTACCTGCCACGCGCAGCTACCTTGAAGATGGACTGAGATGACCCTGGGAAAGGACCTGGGATGCAGCAGACTGGCATCCAGGGCTGGTTCCCTTCCTGGGCACAGTCACACAGTTCCTTCCGGGAGCATGGCTGGCTAGTCTCGGAAGAGAAGGCGGACTGCCCCAGCAGGGAGCAAGCGGGTGTCTGTGGTACCGCTCTCTGCCCACTGCTGTGTGGGCGGTGTGGGACAGATGCGGCCCTGCCCACCATCAGTGCCTCACCCACACTCTGCTCCACATTCCCCATGAGTCCTCGCGAGCAGCCCTCGCCCCTGACGTATGATCATTGCCCCTAACTTCCTCAGGATGAATCCTGTTAGTCTGGATGGGGCCAGAGACTAGGACTTGAAGGAAGTTGAGATGCACACATTAGCAAAGTGATTAAGAGCACAGATTCAAGTTTCCCATCCCAATCCAATCCCAGCTGTACTACTTCTGGCTGTGTGACCTTCAGCAAGTACCTTAACCTCTCTGTTTCTATTTCCTCGTCTATAAAATGGGGACGACGATGGTACCTACCTCTGAGGGCTGTTAGGAAGATTAAGAGGATTATTACATGTAAAGTACTCAGAACAGCGCCTGACACAGAGAACTGCCAAACACCAAATAAATCCTCTCTGATTCCCAATTATTGGGCTATTTCTGTCCTTCCTACATCAAAGCGGCAACAACAGGGTAAACCCTTTGCTGAGGCGGTGCCCACTTCTGAGAAGCTGTAATCCCCACCTGGGCGTCCTGTGAGTGGGGTGACATGCAGCACAACGCGAGGTGGCCGCCCGAGGAAGTGATCTTAACATCCTGCCTATTGATTTGCCCCCTCCTTTCCCACTTGCAGAGAATTTACAATATTATCGTCAACAGCCAACCAGGCCTCCGGGAGCTCATCCTTCATGACTCCCTACTTTTATCTCATCATTTATGGAAATACATGCAAATGAGGGATTTAAAAAAAATACCAGCACAAAATAAATGAATTGTTTCTCAAATGCCAACATGTGCAGAATTCACAGATGGGCTCCTCTGGATGGAAAAAACAAGGGGGGCTGGGATCTCTGGGAGCTCGGGACACCTCTCCCCCGATGTCCTGGGGTGCCACGTGCCCGTGAGAGGCCTAGCACGGGTACAATGGTGGGGAACCCAGGTAACTGATGCTGAGAGGTCTAAGTACTAAACTTCTCCACCTGTATCTATTTATTTAAATTTGAGAAAGGGTCTTGTTAAGTCGCTAAGTTACACAGGCTGGACTTGAATACACAATCCTCCTGCCTCAGTCTCGTAGAGTGCTGAGATCACAGGCGTGCACCACCATGCCCAGCTACCACTTCTCGGAAGGAGATGCAGCGTAAGAGCTCTTTTTGAGGCCAGGGGTGATGGAAGGGATTAACACATGAGAGCCATTTCCCTCAGCCCAGACATACCTTTCTCGTAGCATGCTAAGGGCACGTTGATTATACTCAGCAAACTTGGCAAAGAGTTAACTTTTATCTTATTTTGGGCCCAAGCGTTTCCCAGGATAGAGCCAGAAGCCTAATCCTATATAAAAAATGGCAAACAGACCACAGCTTGCATCTAGACTCTCATCCGTGGAGAGTAATTGCCTCAAGTGCTGTGTGGAGAAGGATTCGAGGCACAGAGGGAAAGATAGAGATCTATTAGTGATGTCTGAGGCTGGTGTGGTATGGGGAGGGGACTTCCACTTGTCAAGGTCTTAGCCTGGACCTCCTAACTACTGGGCTTGGTGCGGATTCCTTGCGCAATCCTCCCCGCAACAGGGTAATGGTCAAAGCACTCCTCTGCCTTGCTTTGGAGGACCATGGTCTCCTGGGAAATCATAGAGGCTGATAGACTCCACCCTATTTATTTTGTGCGGTTGTGTGGAAGAGAGACAAACAGCCAAGGTGCCCATAACAGGCTTAGTGTTCTCATCAAAACTCCAGCTGGGGGATCAGCCCACACTGGGTGTGAGTGAGCTCCTGGGATGTCAGTCCAAGGGACCGAGGAGGAGACTGCTCCCTCAGCTGTCAGCTCTGTGAGGATTGCACAGTCCCTCAGCCTTACGTACCTGGGACAGGGCAACTCCTCTATAAATGAGAAAAGAAAAGGCAGGAGAGGGCAAGGGAAGAAAAACAAACTGATGAGGGATAGGAGAAGGGAAGATTCAGGGAGGAGGAGACAAGGAAAGAGAGGAAAGCTGGTCTCAGAACTGGCACTTTGAGGGCAGACTGGATTTTCCATAAATGGAGGCAGTTCTAGCTCCCTCCCTGCCTGTTCCTCCAGCCTGATTTCCTCAGCCTCCCAGAGTTGTCTTGAGTCTAGCGGAACTCATGGCTGTGGTGGAGGCAGCCCTACATGTCTACAGGAAAATAAAGCTCTGCCTAGACCTCTGGGGACACTGGTTTTGTGACCCACACTGTATGCCAGAGGAAGCCCACACAGCCATGGCAAGGCCCACATGGAAAGGAGTCAAAAAGAGCTGTCCCGCCAGGCTTGGTGGCACACACCTGTAATCCCAGCACTCAGGAAGGCTGAGGCAGGAGGATCGCTGTGAGTTCGAGACCATCCTGGGCTACACAGTGAGTTCCAGGTCAGTCTCAACTACATAGTGAGACCCTGTCTCAAAAAACAAAAACAAAAACAACAAAAAAAGATAGCTGTCCCTGCCCAAATCACAGTTTGTCACCCAAATAAATGTCTCTAAGCCACTGAGTCTGGGGTGATTCGTCTTACAACTGTAAGAAGCCAAAAGGCACGTAGCTTCGTTTTCTGGAAAGACCACAGGTATTCCCTTTGCTCCCCCTCAGGCCCCAGGGAAGAACCTGGTAGCTGTGTGTCCAGGTGTCACCTGATATCAGTGCCTGCGCATTCCTCATGGGGAAGGAGCCCGTCAGGCCGTAGACGCTGCTGTTGAAGATGGTGGCAGAGCCACTGACGATGGCCATGCAGATGATGGTGACAGTAAAGAAGCCTCGGGTCCAGGAGGAAGTGTCCACCTTCACCAGCACGATCATCACCACAAAAATGGACAATGTGACGATCAGCGAGGCCAGGACACGGACACGGACCGGAACCCTGGGGTAAGGATGCCACAAGCGATTAGACACCCCCATGTGGCCTAGGAAATCGACACAGGTACCCTGGTTTCAGCCTCTGCACCTGAAGCACAGGGCAGAGTCGAGCTGCCTCTTGAGGGGAGTTGGCTGGGGAGGTGACATGCAGTGGATAGGGCTGCTTTTCAGCTGTGAGGGCTGTGAGGTTCAAGGGCAGGGCGCCAGGCGAGCCCCGGTCCTCCTTCCTTTGTGCTGCGCTCTTGCTGGCTTTGCCCAGTGCTCAGACAGGCAACGCCCCAGGCTTCCTTCTCCCACAACTGGGCCATGGGGTGTGGGGGAGGGGAAGTCGTCGGCATTCTCCCCCTCCCCCTCCTCCCTTTTTTTTCCTCCTCCTCCTCGCCTTGGTCATCATGGCCCTCAGGCAGTCTAGCCTGTGCCCTGCGGTGGCCAGCACTCTCCTAAGTGCTTTCTCATTCCCTCCCATGCACCTGTCAGACAGGAGTTCTCCCATAGCCTCTTAACATGGAAAGGTACTCAGAGAGGATAAGGAACTCACCCAAGGTCACTCAGCCATGACCCCAGGGCCCCAGTTCCTGTCTGTGCTCTTGGAATAACGCTCTACTGCCTCCCCTGGGATAAAGGATTCCGTGTGGCACAAGCTAGTGTTACCCAGGGCCCCCTAATGCCACCCCACATCCCATCCATCCACTCCTCCCAGCCAGGGAGGAAGGCAGGAAGGAGGCTCTCAGAAAGGGCACATCTTTATCCTAGGAGGGACAGCACCATCTCCAAAGCTGTCTCAATCATCAGATCAGACTAATCTGGATGCCACATCGGGTGTTTAATGGTAGAAAATACAGAGGTCTATGTGCATAATCAGGTGTGAAACTAAGAACACGAAGATACGGACACTTAAAAAGTGCTTTTGTGGAGGGTCCTCGGATCCTCAGTGGGAGGGAGTGGTTTTGTGGTGGGGGCAGAGGGGAGCTGGGAGGGGAATCGAGGACTCTGGTGATGGGGTGGTCATTCTGCAAACATACACCCAGCAACTACCGAATGTCAAAGACTGCTGGGGTGGGTAGGACACAGGATGGAGGCTTTGCTGTCCACAGGGCTAGATGCTCCAGAGAGAGGCCACCCTGGAGGGGCACAGACCTCACCCCAGGAGCCAGGGAGGCTACCTGAAGGTGGTGCCTGAGCTGGACCAGAAGGATTCGAGAGCAGATGTGAGCACACACATCTTGGGAGAGCATGTGTGTCCAGGGAACTGACGAAGGACTCCAGCTGCAGATGATATGGGGTGTAGGACGGAGAGACATGCACAGCCTCACCCTGGAGGGACTCAGCCACCCTGAGCAGCCCAGAAATTGATACCCAGAAGGGCACCGAGCAGGTGCGAGATCTTTATCTGTCAGCATCACTTGCTGCCCCAGGAGTCTCCTCCATGCCAACTCGTCCTGGAGAAGTGTCAGCCATGTCCCCCACACCAGCCCATCCTCAGACAGTCACAGTGCCAATGCTTCTGGCCACCGATGGCTCAGAGATGAGCACGGGACCCACTCAGGGCTACTCGGTCTTGCCCAGGACTGTTCCACGGAAGCTGGTGGGCAGCAGCTCTCCTGAGTGTGGCGAGGCTGCTCACAGTCCCCTGGCCACCTGTGTGGGGTGAGGCTGCATATGGGTTAGGGTGATGCGGAGACACAGGTCCCAGGGACAGTGCAGGAGGATGTTCCTTAGATCCAATGATGCCTGAAGGCCAATCTGACCTCAACTTCCAATTACAGAATGAGTAAGTCTTTTGTGTCCTGCCCATTTGTTACCAAGCTCACCCACGGACCCAAGGAGATATATCAGGGCCTCGCACTGGAGTGCAGCACCACCAGATACTCCAGGGATGCTGCTGGTCTCCTGCCACATGCCCTTCCTTTGCACTTCTGGACACACTGGTCCGGGAAGCAGGCTGGAGGTGACATGTAACAGCTTCTAAGAGCAGCCTTCAACCAGTGATGGGAAAGCTGGTAGACCAGCACCCCAGCTTCCTCCCTCCTGGGAAGATGCCCCAGCCAGCTCCCCTAGATCCCATAGGATTAGCACTGGCTTCCCTCAGTGGGCTGGGAGGATAAGGCACCCTCTCCTGGGTGCATCCCTTCCTGTCTTCCTTCTGTACTCTCTCACCTTCCCCTCCCACATTTGTAGCTTTAGTTCCAGAGTTTGTTTCTGGGAGGCCTCACACTAAGATGCCCATTAGGACCCCACACGAAGACCCATCTTCCCAGAGTCTGCAGGGGGCTTGGCCAGCACAGGGCTAGTGGACGGCTGGGAGGAGCAGCTGGACCCTGGGGTCTCAGAGTGGCTACTGTAAGGTGTCATTCACGCCTGGCATTTACTCCTTAGCCCTGATATTCCAGGTGACCCTATATACTCAACACTGTCACATAGGCTCCCACGCTCAAGACACCCTGCCCACCAGCTTGCTGGGTGACCTCAGGCAAATAGTGAACCTCTCTGGGCCTCTATTTCCATATGGCTAGAATGAAAGAGACCAGACTAGGTAATATCAAGGTCCCCAGTAACTGAGGGTTCTGAATCTGAAAATATTCAAGTGAAGACAGAGGTTGGAAGACAAGCCCTAAAAAGTTTTAACCAGTTCCTTGGGTACCTGGTAAATATTTGCTGGACACATAAACTGACAAGCAACAAAGATCAGCAGTGTGGGGCCATTTCTCATAGCGGCCTGGACATCCTGGGTGCTACCTGCTTCCCACTGCGCACCATGAGGCCATTAGTTGCTTGAATGGGAAGGTGGCTTTGCAGAAACTAGGGGACATCTGACTCAGACCCCAGCATGGGGGAGTAGGGATCAAGGAGTCAAACACCCAATGCTTCACAAAGCAATGCAGTTTGGACGGCTGCCTCTGCCCCTACCCCCGTTCCCACTTCTGCACAAGTCTCCTTCGTGCCTGCCCATTACTGCTGCCTAAGCCACCAGGACCACCTTCCATGGGCTCCTGGCGCTAGGGGACGTGCCTAGCGCTCTTTCCAGTAATCATAGCACTTTCTGGAATGTTCCACACGCAGGCTGCCCCACGGTACCCTCAGGGCACTTGGCCGTCCTCTCTGCAAGATGGAGATACTTTGGGGACTTCTGGGGAATACCTTGTGCTGGCGGTGTTCTACTTGGGGACAGGGCGTGGCCGAGGTGAGAGCTCTGGGCTGCGACCCTAGGGCAGGCCATGCCACCCTGAAGATCCTGGGAGAGGGCTGCTGGCTGTATCCAGGCTGTTGTCCCCACTCCCTTGCCAGTGAGGGCTCCGGGCCCCAGGGCACTGATTTCTTCGTAAGTCTCCAGAATGTGAATTTTCCTCATGAGTATTTATGATGCCATGGATTTAACATAATAAAACACTTGGCGATTATGGATGAGCCAGTCAGGGAGAGCCAGGGTGCTCCGGGAGAGAGAGGAGGAGACACTTCAATCTCCCACATTAAATAAAAAATAGCTTAGCCCCAAACTGTCCTCCTGCAGCCTGGAAACAGACGGAGGCCTGGGAGCGGATTTCACACATTGCCCCGGCCCTGTTCCGGTTCAGGCAAGGGCAAAGGCAGGCCTGGGCGGCTGGATCCTCGAGAGAAGGTACTGGATGTGCTGAGCCATGTCCCCCTGCAGCATCTGCCTTCCTTCCCAGCAGCCTGAGGTCTGGGGCAGGGCGTGGGCCAAGGAGGGGGCTGCAAGCTTGGACTTCAGGCGGCCCAGAGGCTCCAAGCACAGACTAGGGGAGAGGGGAATCGCAGGTCAAGCAAATCCTGGCTCCACCCTTAATTGCTGTGTCACCCGGGGTCAGCACCTCTGCAGGCCTGTCTTCCTGTTGCCAAGCAGTCACAACTTCCTCCTGGCATGCCGCGTGAGGGCAGAAATGAACTTGCACAGGACAGGACTGCTCAGAAGTGCATGCTACTGTTGTCACTGGTGATCTTCCTCCTGGTCCCTAAAGTGGCACCTCGGACCCCCAGCCCTGGGCGGCTTCCTACCATGGAAGAGACAGCACCAGGGGAGACACAAACGTAGGCCACGTAGCCCTGACCCCATGGACTCCCTGGGCCCTGACCTCCCCTGAGAAAAACAGGGTGCCTCAGCCTCCCCGCTGGTTTGCCAGGCAGAGAGAGGGGATAACAAAAGCATGGCATCCTGGTCGTCACTCAGATGGCAACTCCCAGCTGGAAGGAGACAGGAGCTCTCACCCAAGTGAGCCTGGGCTATCCTAGTAGGACAAACCTCCTCTGTGGTCCCTGGGCCAAAGGCCAGGGGACGGAGAGGATCATGAGTGGGGACAAAGGGTGCAGTGTGCGGGCATGGCTTCCCCACCACCGAGCTGCCCTCTCCTCCCTCCTGCTGGGTGCTGCCTGGGACCTTCCTCTGCCTCCGGGGCTGGTGGCTCTGCTCCTAGCACCATTCTTCCTCCTCCAAGGGTGGGGTCTGCAGGCTGTGCCCTGAAGGACACTGACGGTAGCCAGGGAGCTGGGGAGCCGGGCAGGTCAAGGCCCTCAGCCCATCAGACACTCGCCTCTCTTTCAGGTTGCACCATGGTTCTCAGAGGGGCACATTCTTGGACACAACTTCATGGGAGGCGGCTGTGTTCCCTTGGAACTGAGTGGGCTTTGTGACAGCCTTGACCAGCCGAGTGCAGCAAGTGACACTATGTGACTTGGGAGATGAGGCTGTAAAACCACAAAGCTTCTCCCTGGCAGTCTTGGGTACTCACTGTCCAGCCACAGTTTGAGCAATCCTGTTACCCTGAGGCCTGTGGGAGAGAGATGAGAGAGAGAGAGAGAGAGAGAGAGAGAGG